TTGGTGCTCTTCCCTTCCCTTAGTCGTCCATTTAGCCTCAGGTATGTTTTTATTTTATTTTTATTGTTTTTTTGGTTTGTGTTTTTTTTTCTCTCTCTCTCTGTCTCTCTCTGTCTCTCTCTGTTCTTCTCTGCCTTATGACTTGGGAAGGATAGCTTAGGTTACATTTGTTTTTGGTTGTCCCTTGGTCACATACTTCCACTGTAGGCCTGCATTGTTTTTTCGTGTTGTTCTTGGTTTTGCTTGGGTCTTATTTGGAGTGCATTTTGGTTATTATGTTCTATCTCTGGTCCTATGCCTCATGCTATTTTAAGATGTTGGTACTTCATAGATTTTTGGGTTGCATTTTGTGATGATCTTACTGTGAACTATGATCTCCATAACTGTTTGATTTTCTACTAGATCATGTTATATTGTGTTCTATTTGAGGTTTGATCCTACTGGTTTGATTACTGCTCTTAGCTATTTGAATCTTATCTATTTGGACTTTGCTACTAATGGTTATTTGTGTTTATAGTTTTGGTTCTTGTTTTGGGTTGGGGGGTTTGTGTTTGTCTTCATTGGTTGTCCTTGGGTCAGTCATGTCCACCTCTAAACATAAGAAGTCTACTGCCACTCGACCCTCTTATAACACCAATCGGTTTCCCTCAGCAGAAAAAGCCAAGTCGTTTAGAGAGTCTTACACCTCTAGGACAGTTCATTTAGAGCGTAATGTACAGCCCAACACCTTTGAGTCCATTCCCATTTGCCCATTGTTTGATCCATTAGGAGGTGACTTGGTTCTTTCTTTCTCGAGTCGTTAAAACCTTGATTGGGTTTGGGAGTTTTATTATAACATCGATGGTATTGATGATATCGGTCCTTCCTTCAAGACCTGGGTTAGGTGTAAGTCCATCACCATTACCCCAGATCTTATCCGTGAGCTTTTAGACATAGGCGAGGTCTTTCCATGTCACTATCCATTCCCTATCCGACCCACCTATGAGTTTGACGAGGTGGCCACTGCATTATGTGGCACACCCTGTACTTGGTTCAAGGGTGCCTTGATAAAACAACATGAGCTTTTTCTCCAGTTTCGTTTGCTAAATCTCATTGTTTATGCCAATATCATAGTCACGACTCATAGCTCCAAGATCAATCAAGAGCAAGGCTTTGTTCTATTTTTCATTGATCAACACCGTTCTATCAATCTTGCCACCCTCATTATTCAAAAAATGGAAGCCGCTTTTGAGTGCAACAACTTAGGTCTTCCTTACGGTTGCCTTACTAATCGTCTTCTCACCAATTTGAGGTTCCATCTTTTGATGAGGATGAATTTGCTTTTCTTACCCGCCCATTCACCAAAAAGACCATCTCTCAAAGTCAGTCTCATGTCAAGGGGGTTCCTTCAAGTGTGGGTAGTTCTGGTGCAGGTGTAGGAGATGGTCTTCTCACCGAGGAGGTAGAATATGACACTGAGGCTACAAGTATAGGGGAGCAGCTTCCTCCGACTTGTTCTATCAGAGGCCAGTTGCGTTAGTTTGAGCAGGCTGTGGTTTCTCATTTTGATCGCTTGGAGGGTCGGATGGATATCTTTGAAGCTCGGCTTACTGATCTTGAGACCACCATCGATGCCTATCTCACTGCCTTGGAGGCCTCTGCTGACTGAGTTGAGCAGTCTCTTGATCAGATCTTGTTTCTGCTTCAGCTGTCATAGTCTCCACCGCTACCGGATCAGTGATACTTGGTTCTATTTTCCTGATTTTTCTAATACAGCTTTTAAATACTTTTCTTTTTACAGTTTCTTTTCTTCTTCTTCTGTTTTTTAAAGTTTTTTCTGCTTTGTCTCCCGGACAAAAAGGGGAAGTAGTTTTGGTTTCTATGGTTTCTACACAGCTGGGATCCATGGATATTGGGAAGTTGATACATGGATATTGGGAAGTTGATGCGTGGCTATTGGGTTGTTTTGACAGAGATCACTTTGGTTATATATTATTGTGTGCTTATTTCGATCTTATTTAGTTCCACAAGTTTTGGTTTGCATGGTATTTTCCACAGGTGGATGGTTCATAATGTTTCTAAGTGTGTCTTAATCAACTTGGCATTTGTGTTTTTGTTAGGTCGATGCTTTTGATTGTGTTTTTTTAGTATGTCTAGTGCGTGTGTTTGTTAGGAACAATTGTTAGATAAGTTTTCTCTGGGAATTGACAAAGGGGGAGATTGTTAGGACCCTATTTATTGCCAATTCCGCGAACAAACTTGGGTTAATTAAGTTGTTTGTGTTCCTCTATTTTTGGTCTTCCCGCTCGAAGAGGGAAAGCTGCTCTCGAGCGGCGTTTCTACCTTTGCAGTACTTTGGCTTGTTTGCAAAAATACTGTGAAGTGTGATTTTACGATCGAGCATAAATCCTGTATTGGAACACGCGTTTTAGCGTCCCCGCTCAAGCGTCCATTCCTACGCTCAAGCGAACTTCGCGTTTTCAGCAGCTATAAAACTGCAAGTTGCTCCAAATCTAGGGTACAACTTCTAGAGTTTCTTTGAGGGTTCTAGGGTTTTCTTTTGAGGCTATTTTGCTAGTTTTCTTTGGTGTTTGATTGAGTATTAAACTCATGATTTGACAAGCATACATCAAAAGATTGTTTGGTTATTCAACAATATGAGTGTTCTTCTTCGGTGGAATCCGCAGATTCAAGCGTGGAGTATCTGAAGGAGTTTGATGTTGTGCGCAGTTGTTGATTTGACATAGATGTTGTGGATTCAACATCAAAGTGATCAATTCCGAGACAAAGGCTACTGTGAAAGAAATATAGATTGTTGAAGACAAATTGATTGAGTTTGGGTAATTTGTTTTGGTAAAATTTGTATTCTTTTTTCCTTCATAGTAGATTGATTAGTGGCGTTTTGCCCGTGGTTTTTTAATCACAATTTGAGGTGTTCCAATTGTGATTTTTCCACATAAAAATCATTTGTGTCGATTTATTATTTTAGAAGCGACAATCTAAATCACTTTCGTATGTGCTAGATGATTTAGATTGTTAGGTTTAAATCGTTTGGGAATTGGTACAATTAATTTTGATCTAATCACGAATCACTAGATTTTTCACTATTTAAATTGAAAAATTCAATAAGAGCTTCACCAAATATATGTACAAATCTTTAATAAAGATTCTTATATAAGTTCTAAGGTTATATGCAAGCAAGGAATAAAAACTTACAAAAATGGTCATTAATAATTTTAATACATCTTTAACAAAAAAGATCATTAAAAATCAATAAAAATCACCACATGTCTACACATCTTTAATATTTTATTTTATTTTTGTTTAAAAGAAATCAACAAAAAGTGAAATTTGTTTCAATTGTAAAGGTTGGACATAGTGTCCATACAAACTAATGTGTACACAAGATAAATACCAATATTTCGACAAAACCAACCACAAAAAAAAAAAAACAAACAAACAAACAAACAAACAAAACAAGACAAAAAAAACAAAAACAAAAACAAACAAACAAACAAAATAAGACAAAAAAAACAAAAATATTAGATGAATCAAAATTAAACACCAACTCTCCTATTGATCACTAACCACTTGACCCATCATTATATTTGTTTTATATCATATTGACAAAATCATATTTTAGGTTCCCTAACAATGGTCAATTTGACTAGGCATAGTAACATTTTGCCACACCCATCTGACGGACAATTAATTCGATCTAGTAGGTGAACAAAAACACACTCTGTGATTGATTGAAATGGCGCATGTTTAAATATTAGGTCCTATTTAAAGTGTAATAGATTGATTTAAATAGGAAATCCCACTATTTGAATCAATTACAAAGTATGTTTTGTTCACCACCAAAACACTAGATCCCTACACAATTCCATCTCACCCTCTCATCGTTCACTGTACATTCAAAGTTGAACAGAAACCAATAAATAAGAAGGCATTAAGTTGTTGAGAAAACAAATGAAAAGAAAAAAAAATTCAAAATTCATTGCATACTTGAACTTTCTTATTTTTATTTTTAGCAAATAAACAAAACCCAATTCAAATGATTTGCATATATATATATATACATCTATACATATAATACATATGTCCCTAGCAAAGAATCCAAAACCCAATTCAATTAATTTTCAAATTTGCTTAACAAATAAATATACATAAATTCATGGAACATATGGTTTTTATCCTAGTAACAAATAGAAAATCCAATTCAATTCACTTTTGTATCTCATATAAACAAACAATATACCCATTGAAACTTATCTTTTTGATTGACAACAAAGAATACAAAACATGACTCCCTCATTGGAACTCCTTTATTTCAGTTCCACTTCTTTGTAGGTTAAAGAAGTTTTGTATTTAGAGCTTCTTAATATATTAAGTTGGTGTTCTCAACGGCTTCTAGGTGATCTCTATGTTGACATACCAACTCCAATATATGATCTGGTCCATTCAAAACAAAGCAGGAGAGAGAGAGAGAGAGAGAGAGAGAGAGAGGATATAATTGGTCCATTCAAAACAAATGATCTCCATGTTTTCAAAGAATCCGAAAACAAAAAGAATATATATTGCTCTGTTTTTCTCAGTTAAAATTGGTAGCTGGCTGTTTTCAATGTAATTGCTCTGTTTTTCCAATCTTAGGAACATGATTTGACCAAAGTATATATATCGACCATTATAGTTTTACCATAACACTTAACAACATTATTATTCAGTTAATTGAAAACATAACAAGTAGATCATCACAATTCCAAAACCCCATCTAAAACTCAACCCATTTCTACCAAATCCATAACCCCCATCCTTTCTTTCTCTCTCTCTCTCTCTGGGTTTCTTTCTAGTTTTATACACAGCAAAAAAAATTCAACATTTTAGGAGATCCATCTTCGCCACCGCAGCAGAAGAGGAAGAGAAAGAGTAGAGAAAGAGAATAGTAGCAGAGAGAAACAAAACTGAGAGAAACAAACAGAGAAGTAGGAGAGAGAGAGAGAGTCTGAGGAAATACTCACCAGATTTGTGTCCCCCGTCATTCACCACTACGACTGTTGGACAAAGAGAGTCTGAAAGATGCCAAAACCAGCGACACCCAAAAGAGAGAGAGAGATGAGAGCTGAAAGAAAACCCTTCTGTTCGTAGCCCTAAGATTTGTGAATGAGTGCTATATTTGGGTTAAGTGAATGGATTTGGTAAGGAATAGATTTTCTCTCCAAAACACAAAACTATGTAATTTTGTATATTGAAATATTTGGTGACAAAATATTTATCCTCATTAATAATATTTTTAATGGAATCGAAATTTTTTGTCACTAATTTGGCGGCATAATTTCCCCCAAATTTTTTAATGGCGGGAAAAAAATTTGGTGATGAAAAAAGTAAAAATAATCATGAAAAATAATTGTCACCTAATTTTTTATTATGTACATACATTGGTGACAAAATTTTATTTTTCTCTCTAAAAATGATACATTTGGAGACGAAATATTATTTTCTTCACTAAAAGGTAAGTCTTTGGTAACAATTTATTTTCATCATTAGTTTTCGTCTCCAAAGACTCTTTTTGTTATAGTGATTTGTCTACCATTGATAAGGGTTGCAAAATGAGAATTTGTCTACTATTAACCTACAACGGTACTCATGATTATTTGATACAATAAAGAAACAAAAAGAGCAATAAGTCCTTGTCTACAAGTGATCAAGGCTTGCGTATATGTAACATAACAATGTGCTTCTTGTCTTTCTCAAAAATTATTTTAGGTGAATAAACTTCTTCAAAAATTTGCATTGCCTTGTGAAGCAAATTCACCATCTTCGTTATTGAAGGATATGTGCGGAAAGCTAGTAATGGTTGTTTTAGATGGCCATGAAGTGGATGCCTTGGGTGGAAAGGGTTGTGTGGAGGAGTCCAGATCCTCTCCTTGAGCTCGCTACAATGCTCTCTACAGGGGATGACTGAGATGGAGCCACATCACTCACTTAGAGATAGACAGTTGAGATCTGTTGAATTTAAAATATATTCCACAACTTGTTTTCCTTTACCAGACTCATCTAGCCTTTCCTTTTCTTCACTACTTTCTTCTATTTTGTGTCTTGGTTTCAAGATTAATACTCTCTCTCCTAAAATGAAAATAAAGACACCATTTTCAAATCTATCTGAAGAACATGAAACCATGATTGCTTTCTAAGAAATAGAAATACCTACAAAACTTGATCTTCAAAGTACTCTTTCTCTCTCTCTCTCTCTCTCTCTCTCTCTCTCTCTCTTGCAAATCAAAAACAATACTGAGAAATCGGAGACACCAGAAAGCTATTTCTAATGGGAAAGAGGATATCTAATTGTCAAAATTTATCTTCTTTTTTTTTAAAACAAACAAAATGAGAAGAATATTAAATGAGGGGAACACAGGAAGAAGATGGTGAGTTTGAAAAATGAGCAAAGAAACAAAGAAATTGAACTTTAAAAGAAGAAGACATAGATAGTAGAAGAAAAGAGAACAAATCCAATTAATAAATCAAACCCCACTCATTTTTTCCTTCTCTATAAGCCCTTTTTTCTTTCAAAATAATTGGGTTTTGTTTGTTTATTTCTAAAGTAGATGATACTTGATCTACACATTTGTTTTTTGTTTTTGTTTTTCTAGTTTCTTTATTTACAGAAGCAGTGGAGAGTGCTTTATTGGAGGAGGGTAAGTGTGGGGAAACCATTAAAGACTGAGGAAAGTTGAAGAAAATAAGAGAGAGAGAGAGAGACGTGGCCCTATCTCAGCCATCTCTCGTAGGGAGCATTGTAGAGAGCTTCAAGGAGAGGATCCAGACTCTGTGTGGAGAAGATGATGCCTTGTAGTGGTTGTGTGGAAAAGATATAGTGCCATTGGGAGAGTGGTTGGGTAGCCCAATTTAAGAGAGAGAAAGCTATGGTAGTAAAATAGCATTCATAAGAAATTTGAAGAAAAAAATAAGGGTAAAATTGATTTTTTTTTGTCAAAATCATTAATAGAGTTGAAGTTTGCAATTCACCTCAAAACACAAGGAGGTTATGTATAGATGTTTAAACCTTGAGGGCGTAATGTATTTTTGAACTAAATTACAAAGGGGTAAAATGTAATTAACTCATGATTAAATTGTTTAAATTACTCTTATTTCATTACATATTACTGACAAATAAAATAAGTGAACAAATGTAGGTTGGGTGGGATTGTTAATGAGGAGATTCTTAGTCTGGAGATTATTATTGAGGGGAATAAGAAAAATTATATTTGTTTGATGACCACTGGACTAGTAACAATTCATATTTGTTTTGTCATTTTATAATAAGATTAATTATATGAAATTCCATTAATACTCTTGGTATTTTTAATATATTATAATATTAGAAATATATTTTATAAATATTAAAATTATATTTTAATATTACAAATTATATTTCATAAATATATAATTTTTTTTGGTACTATAGCTTGTTTTGAGAAGTGACTTATAAGCTAACTTTTTAATTTATTATTTTTATATATTATTTTTTTGGGACAATAAGAGAGGGCAAAATATTCATTTCCAAGCTAATCTCAAGGTTTCATTTTCTAATTTCATCTCCCCTACCTCATTACTAATCCCATGATGAGAGACTCATCATATATGGAGCCCGGATGCTCTGTCGTACTTCCCTGTAGTGGTTCTTGCAGTGCCCCAAAATGATGTCATTTTGGGCAAAAAAACATAGAACCAAGGAGAAGGAAGAAGGGAAAGAGAGGAAGAAGGAAGAAGCACCGATAGAGGAACACACAGAAGAACACCAATATTTGCAATCATGTTTCGTGTAGAAAACCAATCAAGTTCACTAATATTAACAACCATTCAAACACCCAGAAGAACACCAATATTGTGGGAGCCAGAATTAAATATATATATCCGCTTATTGGGGTTAACCCAAACAAGGCCTACAATGGGTCCAGCCTAAACATTTATCACACCCCCCATCTATATAAAGAGGGGGCATCCCAAAAGAAATGTATGTTCTCTCTCTCTCTACACTATACACCAACACTTTTCATTTTATATGCCTTCATTCTGTCAATCAAGTGACTGACTTCATCATCGGAGTGTCTCCGGCCCGCAACCTTGGTTAAGTGGCACCGATCATGCTCATCTTTGCAGGTATACAGGGAGAAAATCGATCTCTTCGTTGGATCTCTACAATCCATGTGAGAGGATATTTCATGATCTCACAATTGGCGCCATCTGTGGGAAACGTCTACAAGAGTTCAATGAAGAGAGGAGTAAACATGTTCTTGTAAGTAAAAATTTAACAACACTGATTGAACTTGCTCTCTATAAATTAGTTTAAGATTGGTTCTTGGATTGGAGATACATATGTTTGTGCTTTCAAAATAGAGCTTTTTGTTCACTATGAATCTCAGTAAAAAGTTTTAAAACAACATAGAATTCATGGTCTACTTGTGCATTTCCATTTTCTCTCTCTACAAATGGGTTTCATTTTTCTTAAAGAGAGCCTCTTTTCGGCAATTCAATAGGGTTGTTCGACCAAACTCAATTCATTTATCTATATATATTTAGACTCACAGGTGGTGTCCAACTTTTATTAAATGACTTGACCAAGTTTATAGATATATGTGCATATGTATATTGTTGCTTATATTTATTATTTTTTTTTAAAAAATGAATATAAATCAACATAAAAATAAATAAATAAAATACAATAAAGCAGTCGTGAGGATACCAAGTTGTTCGGCACACCCATTCATGGAAGCATCAAATTTCTCACCACTAAATCTCTCCATTCCCAACATTGAATCGACTCGGTATCATTATTCGGCTAACATTGCTTACTCGGCAAGACTTCCCGGCGTGTAATTATCTTAATATTCGGGCTAATTCTGGAACTTCAATAAAAAAAAAAAAAAAGGGCAGTGCACGAAGCTTCGGCCACTGTGGGGTCTGAAACTTCAATGAGTTAAAAACTTGTACGCTTCAAGCTCTCTCTCTCTCTCTCTCTCTCTAATAAAATGCAAGCATAAACCATTTAGTCTTTAAGCATCCAAATTGGAGTAGCGATTGGACTTCTTCCTTCTTCAAAGCTAATTCATGCATACATTTTGTACTCTGAAGTTTTTTCATGGTTTCATCCCTATAATTTTGCACTTCGCACAAGAATTGTGTTGTGTTTACATTCTCTGAAGGCACAATGGACACAAAGGCTGTCAAATTAGCACTCTGGTGGTATGGCTTCACTACTTGCTTTAGGCAGTTACTGATATTCATCAGATTCTTCTACAGAATTATTCCTTGATTCCTTTTAGTTTTAACTGTCAACAGTAAATGATTATTTTCAGGTTGTACTTCTAGGTTTTGAATCCAACAGATCGTTTTTGTGAATGAAGCAAATCATTCAATCGGCTAGAGCAACTAGTAAGCCAATGAAGTCATTGTAGTTTTGTGTGGTTTTTGTTCTCTGTTTCACCAAAAAAAAAAATGGAAACTGACATGAAAAACTTGTTTGACAAACTATTTTCAAAAATTGTTTTGGAAATTTTCTTGATTCATTCATAAAAAACCTAATCAACTGCAAAAACTTAAAACTGATATATGCTTTTTGAGATCTTGCTTCACACAATCTGTTGCTAAAGTTGTAAAATCACATTCAACGATTGATGTTGTTTCAAGAGAAGAAAAAAAAATAGTGTTCAGAATAAAGAACTGCGGAAGTGTTTGTGAAATAATAATTTGAGAAAGGGAGAGAGAGAATAGAGAGAGAGAGAGACAATTGTTATGTTTGTCTGTAAAATGTATTATGAATTACAAAGAGAATGCACTCTCTTTTTATAGAGAGAAAGATAGTGCATTGTATGCCAAAGACCACCGAAAACATAAGGCCTAAATCTAAAGGAATAAAGCTAAAGTTAAAGTTAATAATTATACGCTATTAACAATTATGCACTAGACAATGATACATTAAACAATTATGCACTATACTATTAACAATTATGCACTAGACAATTATACACTAAACAATTATGCACTAGACAATGATACACTAAACAATTATACACTAACAGTTTGAAAGAGTTGCATGATCTGTTTTGTTCTTAAGAATTCTAGGTGGGATTCCTAAATTCCTACCTTAGCGAATTACTTCACT